TGTTAAATAAGTCAGAGAAAGAGAAATACCACATAGGCTTTCATTTATATGTGGAATTTAAAAAAACAAAAACAAATGAACAAATAAAACAAAACAGAAGTAGACTCATACAAAGAGAACAGATGGTTGCCAGAGGGGAGGAAGATGAGAGTATGGCAAAATAGGTGTCAAGGATTAAGAGGTACACTCTTCTAGTTATAAAGTAAGTAAGATATGGGGATGTAAAGTACAGCATGGGTAATATAGTAAATAATATGGTAACAACTTTGTAATGGTGACAGATGGTAACTAGACACTGCGGTGAGCATTTCATAATATTGTATGCCACTAATATTGTATGTCAATCATTCTTCAATTAAACAGAGAAAAAAAGAAAGAAAAGCTGTATCAATAGGCTAAAGGGCAAAAGAGCTGGCAGAAATGCCAAGTAGAACAGCATCTAAATAGAAGGCACAAGTGTGGGTATAAAAGAAGTCTGTATGAAACCAGAGCTTCTTTTGTAACATAATCAGTTAAAATATAGGTGAAGAATGAGGAGGCACAGTCCTGCAACACCTGGTGAGGGAGGACATTGCATAAAGTGGAGAAACTGGAAGAACTTCTACAAAGGTTTTAGGAAATGAACAGTGCTGTTTACACAGGGTACCCAATAAGTTTCCTAACATATGGGACATATTATAGTTTGGGAGCTTAATAAGGGGACGTTCCATTGCTAACCTGAGAGGCTAAATGAATAATGTATAAGTATTTAATCTACATGTGAAGTGCTCCTAGGGACCCATGTTGACATATTTAACAAAAAGAGCTACTTTAAGAGGGAGAATCAGCATGTGATGACCAGAGAATCACTGGATCCCAGCTTACTTCACTAAAACCAGTCTGATTTAGAAGGAACTGTCACAGTGCAGGGCTAAATCTCTCCTGTGGAATTTTAGAAGAGACGTTACTACTGATACAAAGGCTAAAATGGGGACAACCACTCATGTTGCTTACTCCTTCTCAATAGTCAAGTGTCCTATAGGAACTGTGTATCTCCTAGCAGTCAGGAACTCCTTGGGGAACACTGATACTCACTAAATTACCTAAGAGTTGCCTTGCAAATCTCAACCCCACCCTCATTCCCACTCACTTCCACTAAACCCTAACAAGTACCAACATCCTAGAGGCAAAGTTTCCTTGAGTCCCATACAGTAGTGAGGGCCAAATTAATGATAAACATCACAAAACTACTTTTGTTATTTTAAAACTGTAAGTTATAGCTAATTTATAACTTTTACTGAATCTTGGATAAATTATTATCTCTGGTCTTTAGTTTCTTAATCCATAAAATGTAGCTGATATTTCTTCCATATAAGCCCAACTTATATGTAAAAAACTGGCAAACAGTAGATATTAGATAACAGGTTGCTTTTATCTAAGAAGTAAAAGTCCATAAAAAGAAGGTAATATAAAATATTTAAGCTTAAAAATAAATCTGCTAAGAGCAGACTCACAGACTCCAAGAAGGGACTAGTGGTTACCAAAGGGGAGGGGTGGATGGGGAGGGAGGGAAAAGGGGATTGTGGGGTATCATGGTGTGTGTGGGGTCATGGGGAAGACAGTGCAGCTTAGAGGAAAAAAACAAGGATTCTGTGGCATCTTACTACACTGATGGACAGTGACTGCAATGGGGTATGGGGGGGGACTTGATAATAAGGGTCAATGTAATAACCACATAGTTTTTCTTGTGAAACCTTCATAAGAGTGTATATCAATGATACCTTAATAAAAAAAATTAATCTGCTAAGAATCAGATACTCAGTGGAGTTAGAAATGAGCGTGGTGGGGAGGAGTGATAGCTATAAAGATGGACATTTAAAGCTACAGTATTTAGTGAGAGAGGGGCACCAAAGGTCTTATAAACAAACATGCCCCACATAATGAAGGACTGTCCATGCAATAGCACCTCTATTGAGGGAATCTGAGCAAGCACAACCAATCTAAAACGGACGAAGAGGACTTACTTCATAAATTATTAAATACAGCAAAAATTCCTTTTTAGGAAGAGAAATGAGCTTAAACAATATAAATGTTATAAAAATAAGGAAAATGGATTCTCTCTAGAGAAGACCATTAATGATGACAGAAGAAACCACCCCACCAAAAACAAAACAAAAAACATGTTTTGTTGTTAAAACAGAAAGGGGAGGCACAGAGAAGTTACTAACTTGTCCAAGTTTGTGCCCAGGCAACTTAGTCCTGCATTCCAACTCTTAACACTACACTCTACTTGATGAACTAACAAGCTAAGAGTGAGCAGAAAAACTGGGAAGAGCCAATCATGGGAAACATGGCAGTTTTTTTTCCCCACATGTTCATAGTTGTACTTTTATGTATATTATATTTCACTTTCTGCCAGTTATTTGATATCTCTGCTAGTTGTTTTCATAATCAAAAGTAATCTGGAGTCAATGAGATACGGTAGTCTATGAAGAATTAAATTCTTTGCTAGATTAGATGAAGGGTTTGCAAACTACAAACTCCACTTAGCCCTGTAGTTCACCTCAGACAGAGAGCAGGGAAATACAGATCAAGGAGGCTTGCAATTCAACATACCAGTTTCATTTCTATCTTTTCCCTGCATTCATATAATCTTTCATCAAGAAAAGAGTTTTACTGATTAAGAAAAGAGCTTGAAAACCACGGAATCAGATGCATTATTAAGACCTCTTTAAGGTATTAAGTTTCATAAAGTCCTGAGAAACAACTTATAGACCATATGACCATGAAAGGCTTTAAATTCTTTACTGCCTCCAAAGCCAGTATATTTATAATCTACCTGCTTCTAGAATTTGACAAAGATTTTATAAGTATAATTTTTAATGTCCCACAGTTATAATTACTTTTAATTTAACCCTAAAACACACACACAAAAACAAGACTAAGCTCTCAAGCACATGGGAGAACACTAAGAAGCACTATCTTTGCATCAAATGGATTTTCTTGAAGTCGTATGTTTTCTTGCTCCTCCCTTAAGAACGCTGACATTCATTTTAAAAAAATCTACTGAATAGCCCCTCTCCACTCTGCACTGGGCTAAGCTTTTTGAAGAATTACAGATTAATAAAACATGAATCACCTTAAGTTTTAAAGATGATATGAGATATTCATCAAATTAATGGATAGAAGGAGGTCAAGTGCCAAAGGGAGACAAAGGAGTAAGAGGTAAAGACATAATGCAATGGGAGCTTAGCAGTGGGACTATTCCCACTGTGTGGGTAAGAAGATTCTTAGAAGAGGTGGCCTGAAAACAGAAGAGAAGGGACAAATAATCTCTCTGCATTCTGATACATGATTACACGTTCATATGTTATACAATAAATAGTTCATAGTCTAGTAGAATAGAATAAGTAAACACCTAAAATATAGTATGTTAATAGGTATAACAACAAGCATATACAGAATATTAATGAAAAAGGGAAGCAAAAATTTCTTTGAGGTAGTGGAAAGAGTAAACAAGACAGGGAGAGAAGGAGGAAAGATGACTTCATCAAGGCCCTGAAGATGAGCAGGAGTTTATTGGGAAGAAGAAAAAGATATTTCAGGTAACAGGAACAACATGAGCAAGGCCCCAGAGAAGTGAAAGCATACAGAGTCTTTGGGGACTGCAAGGTAACCAAAGATCAAAGTAAAAATGAGGCCAAATCATTAGGAACATAAGCCCCATGCCAGGGAGTATGGCTTCACTAAGTAGGTGTGAAGATTTTAGGCAAAGAGTGATATTATATAAACACTATAAAATACCCTTTCTAACATTAAAAATTTTTGAGGCTGTAAAAATATTTAATTTCCACTGCTGCAAAAATATACATGAAAATGTTCATTCCAGGACCCCTTGAAATAACTCCAAAGGTTCCACTGCCCATGAATCCAGTTATGAGCTCCTCTAAAGGAGGAGCTGCTTACTATTTCCAGGACATGGGATATGAGTAGAACTAACAGGAATGAATTGGTTTATGACCAAGGACAGTAAGACAGAACAAAAGATGACTCCAAGGTTATTGGCCTCATCATCTCAGTGAGGTGCCAATGAGAAGAATGCAAGTTTTGCCTGGGAGATGTTAAAATTCAGAATATCCAGGTGTTCTTTCCATAAGCAATTAAAACATGTTTGGAGTTCTGAAAATGGTTTGCAGGCACAGATATGAATTTGAACATCACTGTGTATGCTGTACCAGTGACAGCTGAAGCCATGTGGGTGGATGAGGTCACTGAGCAAGTACAGGGCCTAGCTCAGAATACAGTAGTCCCAAAGCAAGGATAAGACTAGACAAGACAAGAAAATAACATTCAAAGGAGAAGAGAAACAAGACAGTTATCATGTGAGTCTAGGAAGTTATACCTTTCACATTTGGAGTATGATGCCAAATGACAGTCAGTTAGTAAGAGACTTTAAAAGTGGCTACTGGATCTGGAAACTGGATAGTCACTGATAAACATTTCACTGGAGTGGTTAAAGATTAGACTGGGTTAAGAATAAATGGGAAATGGGAAGAAGAGACAATGAGTATAGATCACTCTGTTCAACAAGTATGGCAATAAAGAGAAGAATGAGAGGTGTCAGCAGTTTGACAGGTTGTGAGGTTGGGAGAAGTATGCACATTCTCTGCATTACCTTTTTTTATATGATTTGTATCTAGAGACCCTGAGAATAAGGATCTCATTCAGTATTCTTACAGCACCTACTAGATTATAAAATAAAAATGAATTTACTGTTTAGAATACAGGATATATCACATACACTTCACTAAATTTTAACTAAATTCCTAGTTTAAAAGGGAGAATGTTAGACTGAACCAATTAGATCATCATTAAATTCAAGATGTTTACTCACATGGGGTGACTGTTTAAAAGAGGCCACACCCTGTTATGAAATTTGACAGTCTCTGTGAGGAACACTGGGGGTGCTGTAAGATGATACCTTAATTCTTTCACCCTGGGCTGCACAAGGACATACTCACCTCCATAGTAGAGTCCCGTAGCAGTGCACATCCGCCATTGTCCCTGATACATTCCTGCTCTGCTGGGGCTGCACATCTGGACGCTGACATCTGCAATCTCTTGGGGCTCTAGCGATCTCACCATCACCATGTTCACATGTCCAAATTGGTCTCCCCCGACATATTTAAGACAAACCCCTGGAGGCCAGGCCTCTGCCCCTGAGTTCAAGCAAAAGAAAAAAATGTTAGGCAATCAGTGGTCCTATGCTGGGTGCAGTTCATTACAAAATTGGCCTCTTTCTGACTCTCACACATATGTAAATATATCCAAATACCCTTGGGCTATGTAACATCTTACATGACCAAACAGAAAGAATCATCAGTCAAAAACCTCTGACCAACAGTCTACCCCTAAGAAAAGGCACATCCAGTGAAAGCAAGGCAATTTCTCAAGATGTGTTTCAGGTGACCCCAGAGAAGACCACACCACACTGAAATCAGTAGAGTCTAAGATCAATGGCCGCAGAGAGTTGTGGAAAATGAAGCATAGGCCCCTGTTTTTGGAGGACTGCTTTCTCTACTAAAGACATTAACACATGCTCATTTTCACTTGAACTTTTTAAGGGGACATTCAAAGTAAAAATGGATCTGATTGTACCTACTTTTTCCATAAAGGGAAGAGGATGAAACACATGGAGTAATTTTTATATTATTTTCATTTAAAAACTGCTTTTTCCCTGATGTATGACCTTTCTTCTGGACTCCTTAACTATGAAAAGACCAAGGCTCAAGAGACTTTACAAATACATGAAAGATAAGACAAGTTAAAACTTTCATTTCCAGAGGCAGAGCCAAGATGGCGGCGTGAGTAGAGCAGCGGAAATCTCCTCCCAAAACCACATATATTTATGAAAATATAACAAAGACAACTCTTCCTAGAATAGAGACCAGAGGACACAGGACAACATCCAGACCACATCCACACCTGCGAGAACCCAGCGCCTTGTGAAGGGGGTAAGATACAAGCCCCGGCCCAGCGGGACCCGAGCGCTCCTCCCCCCAGCCCCCAGCGGGAGGAGAGGAGTCAGCAGGGAGCCGGAGGGAGCCCAGGACTGCTGAACACCCAGCCCCAGCCATCTGGACCAGAGTGCAGACACAGTGCATGCGTGGGGTCCTGGATACTAGGGAAACAGGGCAGCAAGACCGGTGAGCGGGTCACTGAGGCCGGCGCCTGAGGACAAAGAAAAGCAAGCGGCCTTTTTTTTTTTATCATTAATTTTTGTTGTTGTTGTTGTTGTTGTTTTGTTTTGGCGAGTGATTTTTGGAAGTCTTAAAGGGACAGGGCAGGACACTTAGTCCAGAGGCAGGGAATCTGGGTATCTCTGGGCACTCTAACACCCTGGACAGCAGGGAGCACAGAGGCCCCTCATGGAGACAAATAGCCTCCCAGCCGCTCCCCCTCCAACTCGGCTCCACCATTTTGGAGGAGCAGCCCGAGCCAGGTCAGACCCACAGCAACAGCGGAGATAAACTCCATAGCAGCCAGGCAGGAAGCAGAAGCCCTGTCTGCACGTAGCTGCCCAGCACAAGCCAGTAGAGGTCGCTGTTCTCCCAGGAGAGGAAGGACACAAACCAACAAGAAGGGAAGTTCTTCCAGCCGTCACCCGTCCCAGCTCTGCAAACTATTTCTATCACCATGAAAAGGCAAAATTACAGGCAAACCAAGATCACAGAGACACCAGAGGAGACAGACCTAACCAGTCTTCCTGAAAAAGAATTCAAAATAAAAATCATAAACATGCTGACGGAGATGCAGAGAAATATGCAAGAGCAATGGGATGAAGTCCAGAGGGGGATCACAGATGCCAGGAAGGAGATTACAGAAGTGAAACAAACACTGGAAGGATTTATAAGCAGAATGGATAAGATGCAAGAGGCCATTGATGGAATAGAAACCAGAGAACAGGAACGCATAAAAGCTGACATAGAGAGAGATAAAAGGATCTCCAGGAATGAAACAATATTAAGAGAACTG